GACTATTGGGGGGAATGCTTATTTTATAGTTAAAGTCAGTTTAGGACAAGATGGGGGCTTCAAGATACCATTCGACTTCTCCCATGAAAAGTTAGGAGGTTTTGGGGGCGTGTACAAGAAAGTTAGGTCCTAGAAGGTATGGTAAATACATTTGCACTGGGGAACGCTTATGTCCTTGGGCAAGGGTGTTTAAACATACCTGGGGAACATACTATGAGAATGGGATGGACGCAGTACACCGATGGGGAATTAAACAAACCCATGATAAATGTAAAACGGAACTGGTGATAACGGTAAAGTCAATTATGCAAGATGACATAGCAAGGAACTATTGGGCCTGTGTTGATGAGCAAGGGCAGATACATGTGTGAGGTTCATTTTTCAGGAGAGAAATGAATCTTCCACCTCTGAGACAGAACAGCAGGTAGATCCAATGTTATCACCAGAGGTACCAAAAACTAGTCTAACACCCCTTGGAAGGCCCTCAGAAGGAATCCTAAATAGCACTAAACCACCAAGGGTAGAATAATTCCTCTTGCAGGAAATGAACCAAGGAGAAGTAGAAGGAATTTCAAATGAGAACTTCTGGGTAAGGTGGATGAACTACACAGCTAGGGCGTTGGGTCAAACTAATTGTTATGCCTGTTCAACAGGTAGGCCAACCCTTTTAACTGCACCTATGCCTCAGACCATGTTCTCTTGTGTGATAGATTTGGGATCAAACCAAACCTCACCTAATTGTTCTGATATTAAAATAACCACTCTTAAAAAGGATAATACTAAGGCACCCCAATTCACCATGACCCCCAGAGATTATCAATGTTGTAGACACCAAAGTAATGCGAATTGCAGATCAAATTGGAGAAGGGTTTACAACAACGTTTTTCTGGTGGGTTACAATTAATAAAAATGTTGGCTGGATGAATTACATCTACAAAGGTTCGTTAATTAGACAAGGGATGCAGTGAAGGGAATCTCAGACCAACTAGAGCACTGGCTGGTCTCACGGCATTAAATGAAGAATGGGCTGAGAACTCAGGGGTGAATACATCTGGTTGGTTTGATAATATGTTTGGATAATGGAAAGCTATTGTTGCAACTATTCTGGGTGCAGCTATAGCTTGTATGGGTATGCTTGTTCTTTGTGGATGTTGTCTTATTCCCTGTGTCCGAGGGTTGGTGAGAAAGGCGTTGGAGGATGCAGTATCACAGCAGATGGTGAGATACGGCCCAATCTCGGACTCCGACCTAAGGAATGAAGAATATGAACCACCAGGCTTGGTGGAGGACGATGACGATTCAGATAGTTTGAGACTGGATTAAACTTTTATTAGTTCTAATGTATGAAGGTTGCAGTGAAAATCTAACGAAGAACTGTGACTGGATGTTTTCCTAGAACTATAAATCTCTAGTTTAAAAGTAATTGTAATGATTTTGTATTAAAGTGTGGATAATTTAGTCAAAGGGTGATATAGAAATTAAAATATATATACAGGTTAAAAGTAATGACTAAATGTTCCACCCTTAAATACAGTTGTGAAATGTTCTTGTTTTAAGTATGATTAGTACTTTCTTGGTAGTGACTAATTATTACACTCCGAAACTGTGTGAGATGTGTTAGAATCTACTACCTGGTAATGTGTGAGCGTAGGGCAAGTTGAGATTACATTGTGTTGCTGTTTGGCAATGTGAGTGGGAGTTGGGCCGGACAGCGAAGAAGAAGAGAAACCGTTAGAGTATGAAACATGTTGCAGGATATTGTGAGAACGGCGATAACTGAGGAAAGCAGCCTGCCCGAGCAGGGAGTAGACTATGATAAGAACATGTGCGTGTATGTGTGTGTGTGTCTGTGTATGTGTGTGTGTGTGTGTGTGTCTGTGTATGTGTGTGTGTGTGTGTGTGTGTGTGTGTGTGTGTGTGTGTGTGTGTGTGTGTGTGTGTGTGTGTGTGTGTGTGTGTGTGTGTGTGTGTGTGTGTGTGTGTGTGTGTATAAAAGATGGACTCTGAAATTGTGATAACAGAATTCTCTGAATAATCTACTGTATACTCTCATGACCACACATAGCCTATCTTTCATTAGCCCTATAAATCGTAGGCCTACACCAAATTCATGATATTAATGACAATATCTAAATGTAAATGTTTATTATTAATATAATGAATTGGTGATCTATTGATTGGGTTAACCTTCCATACAGAGATAAAGGCTATAGGGTGAATTAGGAATAAGAGGGACATTTCCGTCTTCTGTAATCTCTTTCGACATCTATCCAACATATTAGCCCAACACAGGATACATTTCTGAAATCCTCAAGATGTTTTCTAATCACACAAAAAAAACAAAATGTTGATATCATATTCACAGGAGGCATGACACACCCATTTGTATACACTGAGTCAAAATCATGCGTTCAGTTGGCATTTGGATTCCTGGGACAGCAGGTTGGATGAACTGGGTCACCATTATTAATGTCCTAATGGTGCCCCAATGACAATTCAATTCAAATATTGTGTGATTATGAAACATCTGAGGATTTCCGAAATGTATCATGTGTTGAGCTAATATGTTGGGTAGATATCTGAAGACGGAAACGCAAAAAGGTCCCACTTTTTCTGACTTCACTCAAATAACAGTACAAATAACAGTACTAAATCAAATCAAATCAAATTGTATTTGTCACATGCAACAGGTGTAGACCTTACAGTGAAATGCTTACTTACAAGCCCTTAACCAACAATGCAGTTCAATAAATAATAACAGTACAAATAACAATACAAATAACAGTACTAATAAAATGACTACAATAAAACATGAACAGGATATACTGTAGAACTAAAAGAACCAGAGCCCAGCCTAACCGAAGTACAGGGGGTCCCAAACATACACTGTATCTCTTTCCTCCATTGGAAAAGCCTATAAGGTCCCGTTTTAGCTTCTCCATGCTGTCCTACTTGTGGTAAAACAAAAAAACAAATGCTGAATTACATAATATTGTCATTTTTTTTAATGCATTTTGATGCACCAGTACACCGTATGCACATTTACATCAGAATTTGCAGATTTTGCATTATTTATAACCGTTTTATAACCTTAACATGTGTATGATGTCACACCCACAAAGTGATGTGATTTTGATCATGTGGTTTCTCTGCAAAGGCTTAGTAGCAATAGTTTAGATTTTCTCTTGTCAGACCAATAAATTGATGGTCAGGATTAAGCTGTCCCCGTTTATATGATGTCTTTCTGAATTCACCATAGCTATTTATATAGAACCATGCACTCACTGACAGTCCGGAATGTAATGTATGGGGGGACTAGGCTATTTTGGGCCCCACTTCATACGTAGGGAGACGCAGTGCCATTGATAGTCCTATTATAATCTATTATTAGTCAATGCATAAATGCAAGCAGACTGTTCATTTAGACTACGCCTCTACATAATATCTGGTTTGGAAACTCAGTAGTCTATAGTGGTGTGTATTCATGGATGCCAAGGGAACCCAGACTTCCCAAAAAAAATGTACCAAGACAAAAACTCTATAATAAATCTTTGGTCTCTCTTGTGTTTCATAATTTTCCTTCAATTCACAAGAGGCTGAATGTATCTCACCGGCGAAAGCATCCAAGTGAGCGAAACAGCGCCCCTCTGTCTCTGTATGTGTAGGCCATCTATCTGATGCTGTCTGGTCCCAAAGACTATGACATTGTTGCCTCCCGTAGCATTGAATGCAAGGGAAGCCAGCGAGCAGTTGGCCTCCCTTGATTAAAAAAAGTATAAAATAATAGCCAATCAGCATTGAGCTAAACTGAGTGAGCTCAACAGTGAATGGTCCTGGCGCACCAATAAAAGTGTCAAAGGAAGCCAGTTTGGATTTGGCGTCACTCCTATCAAATGGCATTGAGAGCATACCTCATTGTTGCATCTCACAGTGTTGATGTCTTCCAGTGGCTAGCTAGCTAGCTAAAATTGTCCCTTTCATAAATTAGCCAGGGATGGCGATAGGGATTTGGACTTGTGGTTTTACTTAATTCTCCATACTGGCCAATGATTATAATGGCGATTCTGATCCAACCATTAATTCATACATTGTGCCTCTGGCCTGACAGGATGGAAGTTCAATATGTAGCTAGACGTAGTAGGCTAATGTTAACTAGCTGGCCTGGCGTATCATTGCCCATGAAAGAAAGTAAGGCTAGCGAGCATTTTAGCCAGGTTGCTTAGGACAACAACAAATAAAAGCCTGTAGTGTATGACATCATGATAGACCATTTAGTCAACATGAAAGAGAGGAGGATGGTATTGGCGGCTCTCTACAAGTAGGGTGAGTCTACATGTTTTCTACTTGTACGAAGGTGCACGCACACACACGCACACACGCACGCGCACACGTGTATGATGTGGACAGCCACATCATATTTAGCATACTTTGATTAGATTAAATCGTTTTTGGTATCTTTAAGTTGTCACTGTATTAGACTAAGCATAGGTGACTTGATGATGTTGAAATGTTGAAGTTGAAATGGTGCTGGAATAGTGGAGGCAGCTCCTGTTTTCTTTGCAACTTGTGGTAACTCTCCATGGTTCTCAATCAATAGTTGTTTAGTGGTCCGAAAATGTCGGAAACATTAACTTGCTTGACCATGCTGTAGGTCATGTAACTGTTTGTTCCATGCAATATGCTTTGAGGACTTCACTGGACAGAGATTGCTCTCCGGTTTTGTGATGAAACAAAGGTGTGGTTGAATTTATTCTGCCACTGTGTCTACTTATTGTCTCAGCCTTTAGTCCTAATATCACACTTGCAAGACATATGAACTAACAGGTTGAAGAGCAAAAAATGTTTGCGCACATGACTGTAAGTCGCTTTGGATAAAAGCGTCTGCTAAATGGCTTATTATTAGTATTATTCATTGAAGTTTATATGGGGGGCGCTGCAGAAGTGTGACATTTTTCGGGAGGCGTTCCCGAAATCCCGCGACCCTATTGGCTCCAGCCCCAGGCAGTCTTCCGGTACCGTGAGCTTTGTCTGAAGTAAACAGCGAGCAGAGCGGAGTATGAGACGGAGCTGACGGCCCTGCCAGGACAATGACAACGGTAAGGATATGCTGTTTGTTATTTTGTCTACCGTAGGCCTAGAGTTGTCTTGACGTTGGCCCTCTGCGTCCTAATGTGTGCGTGGCTTTAAAATACCGTAGCCTGTCTTTGTCCGTTATCCCCATATAGCTAGCCTATTATAGCCTATTATATGTATTTCTTCCCTGCCACTAGTGTTCTCCTTGAGGCATTGTATTGTTACTGTAACATATGCTGACATTTTCTCTGTCGGTTGGTCGTTGTTGCTAACTGAACAACTGTTAGCCTACTTGTAGGTTGTATGCCATAGCAAGCGAGCTATCTGCTTTCATTTTCGAGATGATCGATGTCTGTCGAGGGAGGAAGAGTTTTGTATTGTTTTTTTTGTATTTGTATTTAATTTTTATTTTTTACATTGTGTATATGTATTTCTTCTGAACACATCCGTTTGTTGGCAATGTCAATTATTGCATATCTTTTTCAAAATACTGACTGTTATGGCCGCTAGCTGGACAGGCAAACGCCGCCGGGTACTAAACTGTAAACTCGTGTACTATCCATGGTATTTTGTCTGCTGATCAGGTTATCCGTATCTAAGTAGACAGCTGTTGACAATAGTAGTGGAAGTTCGGCTCATTTTACTGACTCGGATGTTTTCGAGCAATTAGGGTTAAGTGCCTTGCTCAAGAGCACATCGACAGATTTTTCACCTAGTCGGCTCGGGGATTAGAACCAGCGACCTTTCGGTTACTGGCACAACGCGCTTAACCACTAAGCTACCTGCCGCCATAAATGTGAAATATCATCTGTGAACATACAAACACCATTGTTACGATTACGGACTAACATTTTAGACTTGAACAAATCTTGTTGCATATCTGATGTACAACAATACCTTTCAGAGTTTTGGCAGTTTCATCTCACCAACCCCCAAAAAACGTACACCAAACAACATGTGAGTAGTGCTACGTGAACAAGCATAACACAGTATAACAACAAAAAAACGTTAAACCGGAAAGAGGTATCCTGCACGTTTTCAAGTTAAACGTCTCCATTCTCTATTACTCCTCAGTTAAGTTTACTTCACATTTAGGTAGCTAATGTAATGGATTTGTTTGCCAGCACAAGTCAAGATAGCACTAGCTGTATTATGCCTACAACAGGGAAGTTTCTGTCTGCTAGGTGTATCTCTACAGCATGGGGCATATCTCTGGGGTGACATGGACATCAAAATATGACTAATTCAATATTGCACTATCCCATTCTCTGGGCTCTGTCTGCAATCATAACCAGTAGTATCTACCAGGAATAATGAAACAGAATAATAATAATAATAGATGTTTAGTGAATCTATGAATAGTAACCGAAAGGTCGCTGGTTCTAATCCCCGAGCCGACTAGGTGAAAAATGTGTCGATGTGCCCTTGAGCAAGGCACTTAACCCTAATTGCTCCTGTAAGTCGCTCTGGATAAGAGCGTCTGCTAAATGACCAATTTATTTATTTTATTTATGAATTATGTATGACCACTGGAGTCTTTGCCACTCAAAATATTTTTTTTTACAGAATATTTTGACATTTATTTCATCACTCAATCTTGCCAATGCCTATTCTGTAGGAGGGGTTAATATGAATGTAAAATAATTTGATATGATTCATATGAATCGGGTCATGAACATATGGACTTTGAAATGAACAAGGAAGAGGTTAAACGGAGGTTAAGTCTGGCATAAGATTATTCCCACACTTTACAATAACTCTGTTTCAGTGGTCTTAGGTAGTCTCCGTATAGGCTGGTCCCTCCATCGCGATGCCGCCGCCCAGTTGAAGAGCTTGTGATCTCTCCGTGCAGCAGAGATCAACCAAGTGCATGGGCTGATTCACTCACCTGTGAGGAGATCCATCCCAAGCCAGGCCACCACCATTTAGACATTGAGACCACATTTGCCTGTTCTCTTTCTTTGTGGATTTAGTCTTAGTCTAGTGCATGTTTGATTTGAAGTGGAAAAATTCAAGGGGTGTGAATACTCTCTGAAGGCGCTGTATATGCATGAAACTACATTATGGAAAACATGTCACACACTCCACAATAGTTAGTAGAATAATGAATGGATTGGCAAGATTTTGGCACCGCCAACTTTTAGAACATTAGTAGGAAAGTTAATCATTTAAGTCACCTAAATATACTCACATTCACTAAACATTTAGTATTTGAAAGTCAAACATTCATTTCCCAACAGTTTTTTTTCTTCGTCTATAATCCTACAGACTCTTTATCAGTCTCAATGCCTTCTATTCCAATACATCCAACATGATGCCCATCATGGTACTGGGCAGCTGCTATTGGAGAACTCATCTGGTTTAGAAATCAAACTCTTATTGCAGAGCACTTTGTACAACTGTTTATTTTTTTAAGAGAAGATTGTATTGCATTGTATTGCTATATCTGTAGGCTATGCCATATGTATGATATAACGTTTCTTTAAGCCTGCAGCAAGTTACTTGAAATGAGACCTATAATCATGCCAAAACATAATTAATAACTTGAATTCACTGACAGAGATATATATATATATATATATAGCTAATGAAACACATTGACATTTACATTAGCTAGCTAGGCTAGTCTGCAACATTGGCTAGCTTTCAATCAGTTGGATAAATGGTAATGTGATCAAGACGATTCGTATTGCATGCTGCATATTTAAAGTGCACTCAAACAGATATGTATCTTATTTCAGTCTGGGAGCTAGCTAGCTATATATGTTCATCAGACAGCAGCTCGCGTTTTCACAACCATTGGTTGCCTTCTTCACCAGGGGTATGTATGGGAGTTCTGATTGGTTCCAAGTTCAGCAGTTCGGCAAATTTGTCTTAGCAGACAGTGTTGTAATATACTTTTTATGAGAAAATGTGCAATAATTGAAGGTGCCAACAAATGTTATAGTCATCATAAGAATAATTTACTGTCATATATATATATATATATATATATATATATATATATATATATATATATATATATATATATATATATATATATATATATATATATTTTTTTAAATCAGCTCCTCCCTCGATGGGGATCGATCAACTTCACGTTTTTGGGCTTGGTCCCACCACCTATTGGTTGTAAAATAAATCCTGTTTAGGCTAGCCTATTTGTTGTTGCCACAGAGTGTTCAATGTCCACAGTCCAAGGCCGGCTCGCTATCATATCGACTAGGCAGCTGTGGCCCTGTTCAAGCACTTAGGAGATCAAGCCTTCCTTCCTTCTTTTGAAGTAATAACTAATATCTGAAGAATGTAGCGACCTTAAAGGAGAAGTTTGATTCCTTACAACTAAACCTCTAATTTTGATGTAAATGACATGTTATGGAAGGGTCCAGATTTATTTTTTGCAATTTCACTTGTTTTTGAGGAACTACCCAACCAGCAAGCTAGACCCTAGAGTTATACCTAGAGTTATACCTTAGAGTTATACCTAGACCCTAGAGTTATACCTAGACCCTAGAGTTATACCTAGACCCTAGAGTTATACCTAGACCCTAGAGTTATACCTAGAGTTATACCTAGACCCTAGAGTTATACCTAGACCCTAGAGTTATACCTAGACCCTAGAGTTATACCTAGACCCTAGAGTTATACCTAGACGCACAAAATGGAATGTAACGATGCGGATAAAGTTCGGAATGACACAATTTAATATGTACAACAATGAAAGGTGTTGACAGTCGCTGTACCATGGCTTGAGTCTTCTTTCCCATGCTAATGTTTTCCTGAACAAGATGTCTTCCTCTGGTTGAAACCACGATTACAAATCAGCCAATATATTACATTTCCATGGTTTTGAATGGCGTTTCCTTGTTGCAGTGTGAGGATCCCTCTGGCGACAGGCAGGAGCAGGGGGATGAGTTTATGGACATCCTGGAGGAGAGGAGGCGGAGCAGTGACCTAGGCCATGCCCTGCGGACCTTTACCCCCTCCCCCTACAGGGGAGCCCCTCCTCTCTCCGCTAGCGCCCTCAACAGGATGGTTCTGGAATCACAGTACCTACGATACGTCACCAAGGAGGTACGGGGGGGGGGGGGGGGGGGGTGTGAGTGTGGGTGGGTGGGTGCGTGCGAGTGTGGGTGGGTGGGTGGGTGGGTGCGTGCAAGCGCGAGAGAGAATCCTGAACGTTCCCTGACGTACGCTCAACATATCCGCCGGTCGATCCATCACAAGAACATTGGTCGAGTTCCTGCCCTGTCTTACAATGCCTGGATAGCATATCAGCTAACCACATCATATAATATAGCCAATCTGATGCCCGACTGCACAGTCTATGACGTGGCACACAACCAATCAAATCACATTTATTTATAAAGCCCTTTTTACATCAGTAGTTGTCACAAAGTGCTTATACAGAAACCCAGCCTTAAACCCCAAACAACAGCAATACAGATGTAGAAGCACGGTGGCTAGGAAAAACTCCCTAGAAAGGCAGGAACCTAGGAAGAAACCTAGAGAGGAACCAGGTTCTGACGGGTGGCCAGTCCTCTTCTGGCTGTGCCGGGTGGAGATTATAACAGTACATGGCCATTAAGGCCAGATCGTTCGTCAAGACGTGCGAACATTTTTATAGATGACCAGCAGGGTCAGATAATAATCACAGTGGTTGTAGCAACAGGTCAGCCTCTCAGGAGGTCAGAGGTCGAGACAGTAGGTCTGAGACAAGGTAGAAACAGCAGAGACTGGATCAGCGGCACGGCTGGGTGGACTGGGGACTGGGACGGGGACTGGGGACGGGGACTGGGACTGGGGACGGGGACTGGGGACAGCCAGGAGTCATCAGGCCACGTCTGAGGTATGGGCTCAGTGGCCTCATTTATAACCGCTGCGTAAAACTTACACTAAATATCTGTGTGCGCCATTTCTGAAAAGACTGCGCACGCACAAAAATATAGAGTTATTAACTTGCCGCCATACATACGCATGTTTCCCGTTATAAATCAGACCTGTTGTAAAACTGCGTGTGAGAGAACATTGTAACTCTGCCTGAAACACCCATCATTCACCCATATTGGCTGTTTACTTTGGAAGTATTGGAATTAGGCCAAGACGGTATTTGGAAATAGCAACTTGATCAAATGTTTTTGGAGGTGTCGGCAAATACAAATACATTATGTGACTGTTTCTGAAATACAAAAACAATTGCAACTTGTTGCTGACCTGTAAACAGATTGTTTGAATTCAATAATGTTTTGCATTTACTTTTTTCCCGGACCTAAATATGCTGCGCTGCCTGCGAATTCTGAAACATTGTCTACTTGGACATTTTTTAAATATTAACTCATCATGGCCAGAAAAGGTGAGGAATGTATTCTGCAATGGTTATGATATGTTTATAAATGAAATATTGTCTACTGGAGGAATTTGACATTACAGTATTCAGACGTAGTCTACAAATGTTCATGGAAAAGGTGAACCGTCTGGTCTACCGTTAAACTGTGCTTTTGGATCGGATCGCATAGAGCACAATGCTTGAAATAGCTTATTTACATTTACATTTTTTACATTTTAGTCATTTAGCAGACGCTCTTATCCAGAGCGACTTACAGGAGCAATTAGGGTTAAGTGCCTTGCTTAAGGGCACATCGACAGATTTTTCACCTAGTCGGCTCGGGGATTAGAACCAGCGACCTTTCGGTTACTGGCACAACGCTCTTACCCACTAAGCTACCTGCCGCCTTACCCACTAAGCTACCTGCCGCTTATCTATTTACTACTGTGAAGTGGGTCCAGTTAAATGAGAGATGGGACGAATGATAGCCTATCCTAACTTATAGGCTATTTCGCAGGTATGAAACCATCACAGTCAGAACATTTGAGGAATTTATTTAGCAAAGATCATGGAAATTAAATAAATAATAGGAAATACAGTGCCTTCAGAAAGTATTCATACCCCTTGACTTATTCCACATTTTGTTGTTACCGCCTGAATTCAAAATGGATGAAATAAAATTGATTAGATGTTTTTTTTCTCAGCCATCTACACACAATATCCCATAATGACAAAGTGAAAACATGTTTTTAGACATTTTTGCCAATGTATTAAAAATGAAATATAGAAATATCTCATTTACATAAGTATCACTGAGTCATTAAATGTTAGAATCGTCTTTGGCATCGATTTACAGCTGTAAAGTCTTTCTGGGTATGTCTAACAGCTTTCTACACCTGGATTGTACAATATTTGTCAAGTTGGTTCTTGATCATTGCTAGACAGCCATTTTCAAGTCTTGCCATAGATTTTCAAGGAGATTTAAGTCAAAACTGTAACTATGCCACTCAAGAACATTCAGTGAAATCTTGGTAAGCAACTCCAGTGTATATTTGCCCTTGTGTTTTAGGTTATTGTCCTGCTGAAAGGTGAATTTGTCTGAAAGGTTTTCCTACAAGGATTTTACCTGTGCTTAACTCTATTCCATTTATTTTTATCCCAAAAAAAAACTCCCTAGTCCTTGCAGATGACAGGCATACCCATAACATGATGCAGCCACCACCATGCTTGAAAATATGAAGAGTGGTACTCAGTGATGTGTTGTGTTGGATTTGCTTTAAACATAACGTTTAGTATTCAGGACATGAAGGTCACTTCTTTGCCATTTCTTTGGCAGGTTTCCTTTAGTGCCTTATTGCAAACAGGATGCATGTTTTGGAATATTGTTATTCTGTACAGGCTTCCTTCAAAGGGATATTCAACGTCACAGTGAGTGCATGCAACTTATTGTATGACTTGTTCAGCAAATATTTACTCCTGGCTTTTCATAACAAAGGAATTTAATACTTATTGACTCAAGATATTTCAGCTTTTCATTTTTAATAAAAAAATTAAACAATTATTCCACTAATTTGTATCCATTTTAAATTCAGGCTGTAACACAAAATGTGGAAAAAGTCAAGGAGTGTGAATACTTTCTGAAGGCACTGTAGAAGCCTATTTCTATAATTATTTTAGAATGCAAAGATAAAATAAATCAATTTTCACTCTTCTCACTAATGGCAAATGATGACATATTGTTATTACAACTATTATACTGTTTTTTTTTGGTTATGAATAAGAGTCATATGGAGAGAGAGAGAGAGAGAGACGCAGACAGGGAGAGACGCAGACAGACAGAGAGACGCAGACAGAGAGAGAGACGCAGACAGACAGACAGACAGAGAGAGACGCAGACAGACAGACAGAGAGAGACGCAGACAGACAGACAGACAGAGAGAGACGCAGACAGACAGACAGACAGACAGAGAGAGACGCAGAAAGAGAGAAATTCTAGGGACAATAAGGAGGCCTGCGTCTTGTGACCGTAGCGTACGTGTAGGTATGTACGGCAGGACCAAATCAGAGAGATAGGTAGGAGCAAGCCCATGTAATGCTTTGTAGGTTAGCAGTAAAACCTTGAAATCAGCCCTAGCCTTAACAGGAAGCCAGTAGAGAGGCTAGCACTGGAGTAATATGATATAACATATTGGTTCTAGTCAGGATTCTAGCAGCCGTGTTTAGCACTAACTGAAGTTTATTTAGTGCTTTATCCGGGTAGCCGGAGAGTAGAGCATTGCAGTAGTCTAATCTAGACACAACCAATGTAGTCGGGCAGGAACTCGACTACTAACTCTCTGACACTTGACCCCTGACCTCTCTGTGCAGGTGGCCATGGAGACTGGTGAGAGTGTGGATCTGGTGAGAGAGGAGGCTTCGGGGATACTGGAGGAGATGTCTCAGAACCTCCAGCTGGGATTCATCAGACTGCTGGGGTTCACCCTCAGTAAAGTATTCAAGAGGCTCTTCAGCCACATCAACGTCAACCAGGACGGACTCAACAGGGTCAGAATACTACTATAATACTACTAGAACACTACTACTATAATACTACTACTACTTTAATAATATTAGAATTCTACTACTACTACTACTACTAGAATACTACTTTGAGAGTACTACTACTAGAATACTACTACTACTACTACTACTACTACTAGAATACTACTACTACTACTACTACTACTACTACTATAATACTACTACTACTACTACTACTACTACTTTAATAATATTAGAATTCTACTACTACTACTACTACTACTAGAATACTACTTTGAGAGTACTACTACTAGAATACTACTACTACTACTACTACTACTACTAGAATACTACTACTACTACTACTACTAGAATACTACTACTACTACTACTACTAGAATACTACTTTGAGAGTACTACTACTACTACTACTACTACTACTAGAATACTACTACTACTACTACTACTACTACTACTTTAATAATATTAGAATTCTACTACTACTACTACTACTAGAATACTACTTTGAGAGTACTACTACTACTACTAGAATACTACTACTACTACTACTACTAGAATACTACTACTACTACTACTACTACTATAATACTACTACTACTTTAATAATATTAGAATTATACTACTACTAGAATACGACTTTGAGAGTACTACTACTACTACTAGAATACTACTACTACTACTACTACTACTACTACTACTACTACTACTACTAGAATACTACTACTACTACTACTACTAGAATACAACTACTACTATAATAATATTAGAATACTACTATTACTAGAATACTACTACTACTACTAGAATACTACTACTACTATAATAATATTAGACTACTACTACTACTACTACTACTAGAATACTACTACTACTACTACTACTACTACTACTACTACTAGAATACTACTAAAATACCACTAGTAGAATAGTACTAGAATACTACTACTAGAATACTACAGAAAATATACTAGAATAATAGTACTAGAATAATACTACCATAATACTACTACTACTAGAATAATACTACTACTACTACTACTACTAGAATACTACTACTACTACTACTACTAGAATACAACTACTACTATAATAATATTAGAATACTACTATTACTAGAATACTACTACTACTACTAGAATACTACTACTACTACTATAATAATATTTTGAATACTACTATTACTACTACTAGAATACTACTATTACTACTATAATAATATTAGACTACTACTACTACTACTAGAATACTACTACTATAATAATATTAGACTACTACTACTACTACTACTACTACCACTACTACTACTACTACTAGAATACTACTAAAATACCACTAGTAGAATAGTACTAGAATACTACTACTAGAATACTACAGAAAATATACTAGAATAATAGTACTAGAATAATACTACCAGAATACTACTACTGGAATACTACTACTACTACTAATACTAATACTACTACTACTAGAATGCTACTTGAATACTACTACTAGACTACTACTAGACTACAAGAATACTACTACTACTACTACTACTAGAATACTACTAGAATTCTACTAGAATACTACTACTAGAATACTGTATTTGTATTTATTATGGATCCCCATTAGCTGCTGCCTTGGCAGCAGCTACTCTTGCTGGGGTCCGGCAAAATTAAGTCAGTTATACAATTTTAAAAACATTACAATACATTCATAACAGATTTCACAACATATTAAGTGTGTGCCCTCAGGCCTCTACTCTACTACCACATATCTACAACACAAAATCCATGTGTATGTGTGTGTATAGTGTGTATGTTATCATGTGTGTGTGTGCATGTGTCTGTGCCTGTGTTTGTGTTGCTTCACAGTCCCCGCTGTTCCATAAGGTGTATTTTTATCTGTATTTTAAATCAGATTCTACTGCTTGCATCAGTTACCTGATGTGGAATAGAGTTCCATGTAGTCATGGCTCTATGTAGTACTGTGCGCCTCCCATAGTCTGTTCTGGACTTGGGGACTGTGAAGAGACCTCTGGTGGCATGTCTTGTGGGGTATGCATGGGTGTCCGAGCTGTGTGCCAGTAGTTTAAACAGACAGCTCGGTGCTTTCAACATGTCAATACCTCTCACAAATACAAGTAGTGATGAAGTCAATCTCTCCTCCACTTTGAGCCATGAGAGATTGACATGCATATTATTAATGTTTGCTCTGTTTGCTCTCTGTGTACATCCAAGGGCCAGCCATGCTGCCCTGTTCTGAGCCAATTGCAATTTTCCTAAGTCTCTCTTTGTGGCACCTGACCACACGACTGAACAGTAGTCCAGGTGCGACAAAACTAGAGCCTGTAGGACCTGCCTTGTTGATAGTGTTGTTAAGAAGGCAGAGCAGCGCTTTATTATGGACAATATATAATTGAGGTTTAGGGTTTAGTGTATGATTTGTCCCAATTACAATGCTTTTAGTTTTTAAAATATTTAGGACTAACTTATTCCTTGCCACCCATTCTGAATCTAACTGCAGCTCATTTCAGTCGCTGTAGTAGCTGACGTGTATAGTGTTGAGTCATCTGCATACATAGATACACTGGCTTTAATCAAAGCCAGTGGCATGTTGTTAGTAAAGATTGAAAAAAGTAAGGGGCCTAGACAGCTGCCCTGGGGAATTCCTGATTCTACCTGGATTATGTTGGAGAGGCTTCCATTAAAGAACACCCTCTGTGTTCTGTTAGACAGGTAACTCTTTATCCACATTATAGCAGGGGGTGTAAAGCCATAACACATATGTTTTTCCAGCAGCAGACTATGATCGATAATGTCAAAAGCCGCACTTAAGTCTAACAAAACAGCCCCTACAATCTTTTGATCATCAATTTCTCTCAGCCAATCATCAGTAATTTGTGTAAGTGCTGTGCTTGTTGAATGTCCTTCCCTATAAGCGTGCTGAAAGTCTGTTGTTAATTTCTTTACTGTAAAATAGCATTGTATCTGGTCAAACACAATTTTTTCCAATAGTTTACTAAGGGCTGGTAACAGGCTGATTGGTCGGCTATTTGAGCCAGTAAAGGGGGCTTTACTATTCTTAGGTAGTGGAATGACTTTTGCTTCCCTCCAGGCTTGAGGGCACACACTTTCTAGTAGGCTTAAATTGAAGATATGGCAAATAGGAGTGGCAATATCGTCCGCTATTATCCTCAGTAATTTTCCATCCAAGTTGTCAGACCCTGGTGGCTTGTCATTGTTGATAGACAACAATAATTTGTTTACGTCTTCCACACTCACTTTACAGAATTCAAATTTACAATTCTTGTCTTTTATAATTTGGTTAGATACAGTGCCTTAAGAAAGTATTCAGACCCCTTGACTTTCTACACATTTTGTTACATTACAGCCTTATTCTATTTTTTAAACAGTTCCTCAGCGATCTACACACAATACCCCATAATGACGAAGCCAAAAATAGGTTTAGACATTTTTGCAAATGTATTAAAAATAAAAAAACAGAAATACCTTATTTACATAAGTATTCAGACCCTTTGCTATGAGACTCGAAATTGAGCTCAGGTGCATCCAGTTACCATTGATCATCCTTGAGATGTTTCTACAACTTGATTGGAGTCCACCTGTGGTAAATTCAATTGATTGGACATGATTTGGAATTGCACACACCTGTCTATATAAGGTCCCACAGTTGACAGTGCATGTCAGAGCAAAAACCAAGCCCTGAGGTCGAAGGAATTGTCCGTAGAGCTCCGAGACAGGATTGTCCCACTCCTCATCAATGTGATGGCTCGTTACAGTGATGTAAGACAGTGTGTTCATAGACGTCCCAACAAGTTTTCTGTTAACGCCACATATAGTGTTTGAGAGCTCATTCTTTGAATCCAGCCTCTGTCGTAGCCGGCCGCGACCGGGAGGCCCACGGGGCGGCGTACAATTGGCCCAGCGTCGTCCAGGGTAGGGGAGGGAATGGCCGGCAGGGGATGTAGCTCAGTTGGTAGAGCACGGCGTTTGCAACGCCAGGGTTGTGGGTTCGATTCCAGTATGAAAAAATAAAACTGGCTTCCAGTTGAAGCTCGCATCTGCTACAAGACCATGGTGCTTGCCTACGGAGCTGTGAGGGGAACGGCACCTCCGTACCTTCAGGCTCTGATCAGTCCCTACACCCAAACGAGGGCATTGCATTCATCCACCTCTGGCCTGCTAGCCCCCCTACCTCTGCGGAAGCACAGTTCCCGCTCAGCCCAGTCAAAACTGTTCGCTGCTCTGGCACCCCAATGGTGGAACAAGCTCCCTCACGACGCCAGGACAGCGGAGTCACTCACCACCTTCCGGAGACATTTGAAACCCCACCTCTTTAAGGAATACCTGGGATAGGATAAAGTAATCCTTCTACCCCCCCCTTACCCCCCCCTCCCCCCCATTTTTAAAAAAATAAAATAAAACATTGTAAAGTGGTTATCCCACTGGCTATAAGGTGAATGCACCTATTTGTAAGTCGCTCTGGATAAGAGCGTCTGCTAAATGACGTAAATGTACTTGCAGAGTAATCATTGTACGTTTTTCCTGTACTGCCCACTGTAGCTCAATTCCACCTCGGAAAGTTTGCATTTCATCACCTTCTTCATTTAACTTCTCAAAGTATTGCCATATAGGACTTCCCTGCTGTCTCGTCCCTGTCTCACTCTGCCAACTGTTAACGACGATAACTTGCGGGACACTTTTATATCTGTGGCAAATCATTGTAAAGATGCATATGTCCTCTTACTAGCGTTCCACCATTGTTGTGTTAGGTATTTGTTTAGTGGTAGTTCTGTGATAATATTGGTAGTTCTGTGATAATATTGGTAGTTCTGTGATAATATTGGTAGTTCTGTGATAATTGCACATTGATTTTCATACAAAGAAATATACAAAATACATTTTCGGTTAGGGATGTTTGTGAAACGTTAACGATCCCAATGTCATTTAAACGTTCACACCCCTAATTTGGACCCATTATCTGTTGTTCTCTCAGTTTATTGGTTCACAGTGACGTTTCTGTCCCGCCCCCAGCTCCAACAGGCCATTCAGGAGTCTCCAGTGATCCTGATGCCCAATCACAGGAGTTATGTGGACTTCCTGGTTCTGTCCTACATCCTGTTCACCTATGACCTGCCCATCCCCGTTATAGCTGCTGGAATCCGCAAGTATCTATTGATTCATCCTGTTCTGTGTTTTGGTCGACTTTATAAAACTGGAACGACCATCAAGCCACACTTCAGATAACAAATGTCTAACTTACCTGTCTGTCTGTCTGTCTGTCTAACTTACCTGTCTGTCTGTCTGTCTAACTTACCTGTCTGTCTGTCTGTCTGTCTAACTTTCCTGTCTGTCTGTCTGTCTGTCTGTCTAATTTACCTGTGTGTCTAACTTACCTGTCTGTCTGTCTAACTTACCTGTCTGTCTGTCTAACTTACCTGTCTGTCTGTCTAACTTACCTGTCTGTATGTCTGTCTAACGTTCCTGTCTGTCTGTCTAACTTACCTGTCTGTCTGTCTAACTTACCTGTCTGTCTGTCTGTCTGTCTAACTTACCTGTCTGTCTGTCTGTCTGTCTAACTTACCTGTCTGTCTGTCTAACGTTCCTGTCTGTCTGTCTAACGTTCCTGTCTGTCTGTCTAACGTTCCTGTCTGTCTGTCTAACGTTCCTGTCTGTCTGTCTGTCTGTCTAACGTTCCTGTCTGTCTGTCTAACTTACCTGTCTGTCTGTCTGTCTGTCTGTCTAACTTTCCTGTCTGTCTGTCTGTCTAACTTTCCTGTCTGTCTGTCTGTCTAACGTTCCTGTCTGTCTGTCTAACGTTCCTGTCTGTCTGTCTGTCTGTCTAACTTACCTGTCTGTCTGTCTAACGTTCCTGTCTGTCTGTCTGTCTGTCTAACTTACCTGTCTGTGTGTCTAACTTACCTGTCTGTCTGTCTAACGTTCCTGTCTGTCTGTCTAACGTTCCTGTCTGTCTGTCTAACGTTCCTGTCTGTCTGTCTGTCTGTCTAACGTTCCTGTCTGTCTGTCTAACGTTCCTGTATATCTGTCTAACGTTCCTGTCTGTCTGTCTAATTTACCTGTCTGTCTGTCTGTCTGTCTAACTTTCCTGTCTGTCTGTCTGTCTGTCTAACTTACCTGTCTGTCTGTCTAACGTTCCTGTCTGTCTGTCTAACTTACCTGTCTGTCTAACGTTCCTGTCTGTCTGTCTAACGTTCCTGTCTGTCTGTCTAACGTTCCTGTCTGTCTGTCTGTCTGTCTGTCTAACGTTCCTGTCTGTCTGTCTAACGTTCCTGTCTGTCTGTCTGTCTGTCTAACTTTCCTGTATATCTGTCTAACTTTCCTGTCTGTCTGTCTGTCTGTCTAACTTTCCTGTATATCTGTCTAACTTACCTGTCTGTCTGTCTTTCCCTCCCTGTGTCCGTCTCTGTCTCTCTGTAGCTCTGATGGACATGAAGATGGTGGGAGAGATCCTGCGTCGTTCTGGAGCATTCTTCATCAGGAGGGCCATCGGGTCTGACAAGCTGTACTGGGCTGTCCTCTCTGAGTATGTCAAAAACATTGTCAGGGTACGTGTCCACACAATAAATATTTATATTACCACAAACTACACCACTGTATGGACACTGAGTATATCAAACAGAAGGAACTTCCTCATATTGAATCACGCCCCTTTTGTCCTCAGAACAGCCTCAATTCGTCGGGGCATGGACCCTACAAGGTGTGGAAAGCGTTCCACAGGGATGCTGGCCCATGTTGACTCCAATGCTTCCCACAGTTGTATCAAGTTGTCTGGATGTCCTTTGGGTGGTGGTACACACGGGAAACTGTTGAGCGTGAAAAACCCAGCAGCGTTGCAGTTCTTGACACAAAACGGTGTGCCTGGCACCTACTACCATACCCCGTTCCAAGGCACTTAAATATTTTATCTTGCCCATTCACCGTCTGAATGGCACACATACACAGTCCATTTCCCAAGGCTTAAAAATCCTTCTTTAACCTGTCTCCTCCCCTTCATCTACACTGATTGAAGTGGATTTAACAGGTGACATCAATAAGGGATCATAGCTTCCACCTGGATTCACCTGGTCAGTCTGTCATGGAAAGAGCAGGTGTTCTTAATGTTTTGTATAGTCAGTGTATATTCAGTGTATATATTATGTGTGTCTCAAATAGCTTTATAGTGCACTACTTTTGACCAGAGCCCTATGGGACCTGGTAGTGAGTACACTGGGACCTGGTAGTGAGTACACTGGGACCTGGTAGTGAGTACACTGGGACCTGGTCAAAAGTAGTGCGCTATATAAGGGAATATTGTGCCTGTAAGGGTTGCGAAAGTATTCACCCCCCTTGGCATTTTTCCTATTTTGTTGCCTTACAACCTGGAATTAAGATGGATTTTTTGGGGGGTTTGTATCATTTTGATTTACACAACATGCCTACCACTTTGAAGATGCAAAAAACAGAAAACTTGAGCGTGCATAACTATTCACCCTCCCCCAAAGTCAATACTTTGTAGAGCCACCTTTTGCAGCAATTACAGCTACAAGTCTCTTGGGGTATGTCTCTATAAGCTTGGCACATCTAGCCACTGGGATATTTGCCCATTCTTCAAGGCAAAACTGCTCCAGCTCCTTCAAGTTGGATGGGTTCCGCTGGTGTACAGCAATCTTTAAGTCATACCACAAATTCTCAATTGGATTGAGGTCTGGGCTTTGACTAGGCCATTCAAAGACTAGGCCATTCATTTAAATGTTTCCCCTTAAACCACTCAAGTGTTGCTTTAGCAGTATGCTTAGGGTCATTGTCCTGCTGGAAGGTGAACCTCCGTCCCAGTCTCAAATCTCTGGAAGACTGAAACAGGTTTCCCTCAAGAATTTCCCTGTATTTAGCGCCATCCATCATTCCTTCAATTCTGACCAGTTTCACAGTCCCTGCTGATGGAAAAACATCCCCACAGCATGATGCTGCCACCACCATGCTTCACTGTGGGGATGGTGTTCCCGGGGTGATGAGAGGTGTTGGGTTTGCGCCAGACATAGCGTTTTCCTTGATGGCCAAAAAGCTCAATTTTAGTGTCATCTGACCAGAGTACCTTCTTCCATATGTTTGGGGAGTCTCCAACATGGCTTTTGGTGAACACCAAACGTGTTTGCTTATTTTTCTCTTTAAGAAATTGCTTTTTTCTGGCCACTCTTCCGTATAGCCCAGCTCTGTGGAGTGTACGGCTTAAAGTGGTCCTATGGACAGATACTCCAATCTCCGCTGTGGAGCTTTGCAGCTCCTTCAGGGTTATCTTTGGTCTCTTTGTTGCCTTTCTGATTAATGCCCTCCTTGCATGGTCCATGAGTTTTGGTGGGAGGCCCTCTCTTGGCAGGTTTGTTGTGGTGCCATATTCTTTCAGTTTTTTTATAATGGATTTAATGGTGCTCCGTGGGATGTTCAAAGTTTCAGATATTTTTTTATAACCCAACCCTGATCTGTACTTCTCCACAACTTTGTCCCTGACCTTTTTGGAGAGCTCCTTGGTCTTCATGGTGCCGCTTGCTTGGTGGTGCCCCTCGTTTAGTGGTGTTGCAGACTCTGGGGCCTTTCTGAACAGGTGTATATATACTGAGATCATGTGACAGATCATGTGACACTTAGATTGCACACAGGTGGACTTTATTTAACTAATTATGTGACTTCTGAAGGTAATTGGTTGCACCAGATCTTATTTAGGGGCTTCATAGCAAAGGGGTTGAATACATATGCACGCACCACTTTTCCGTTATTTATTTTTGTATAATTTTTTGAAACAAGTAATTTTTTTCATTTCACTTCACCAGTTTGGACTATTTTGTGTATGTCCATTACATGAAATCCAAATAAAAATATATTTAAATTACAGGTTGTAATGCAACAAAATAGGAAAAACCCCAAGGGGGATGAATACTTTTACAAGGCGCTGTCTAGGGTATCATTTGGGCTATTTGTAACTAGTGTGTTCTCTCTCCTCAGACAGGGTATGCTCCTGTAGAGTTCTATGTGGAGGGGTTTCGGAGCAGGACACTCAAGTCCCTCACACCCAAATTAGGTGAATGTGGGTGTGTGCTCGCACGTCTGTGGCTAATTAACATGGTCTGTCTGTCTGTCTCTGTCCCCTTGTCTGTGGCTAATTAACATGGTCTGTCTGTCTGTCTCTGTCCCCTTGTCTGTGGCTAATTAACATGGTCTGTCTGTCTGTCTGTCTCTGTCCCCTTGTCTGTGGCTAATTAACATGGTCTGTCTGTCTCTGTCCCCTTGTCTGTGGCTAATTAACATGGTCTGTCTCTGTCCCCTTGTCTGTGGCTATTTAACATGGTCTGTCTGTCTGTCTCTGTCCCCTTGTCTGTGGCTAATTAACATGGTCTGTCTGTCTGTCTGTGTCTGTCCCCTTGTCTGTGGCTAATTAACATGGTCTGTCTGTCTGTCTGTCTGTCTCTGTCCCCTTGTCTGTGGCTAATTAACATGGTCTGTCTGTCTGTCTGTCTCTGTCCCCTTGTCTGTGGCTAATTAACATGGTCTGTCTCTGTCCCCTTGTCTGTGGCTAATTAACATGTCCTGTTCCCCTGTCTGTCTGTCTGTCTCTGTCCCCTTGTCTGTGGCTAATTAACATGGTCTGTCTGTCTGTCTCTCTGTCCCCTTGTCTGTGGCTAATTAACATGGTCTGTCTGTCTGTCTGTCTCTGTCCCCTTGTCTGTGGCTAATTAACATGGTCTGTCTCTGTCCCCTTGTCTGTGGCTAATTAACATGTCCTGTTCCCCTGTCTGTCTGTCTGTCTCTGTCCCCTTGTCTGTGGCTAATTAACATGGTCTGTCTCTGTCCCCTTGTCTGTGGCTAATTAACATGTCCTGTTCCCCTGTCTGTCTGTCTGTCTCTGTCCCCTTGTCTGTGGCTAATTAACATGGTCTGTCTGTCTGTCTCTGTCCCCTTGTCTGTGGCTAATGAACATGTCCTGTTCCCCTGTCTGTCTGTCTGTCCCTGCAGGTATGATGCACATGGTCCTGGAGCCGTTCTTTAAAGGGGAGGTGTATGACATCACACTGGTCCCCATCAGTATCAGCTATGACAGGGTCCTGGAGGAGTCTCTACTGGCACATGAACTACTAGGGGTCCCCAAGCCCAGAGAGACCACCATGGTACGACCCAACCACACTCCCCATATTCACTAGGAGTGGTACGACCCAAACACACCCCTATATTCACTATGGTACCTCTTCTGGTACCTCTTTTGACCTCACCCTTTCCCAATAACCTCCAACTATAGTTTTTTTTTTATATTCACTGAGTGGTACCACCCAACCACACCCCTATATTCACTGAGTGGTACCACCCAAACACACCCCTATATTCACTGAGTGGTACCACCCAAACACACCCCTATATTCACTGAGTGGTACCACCCAAACACAACCCTATATTCACTGAGTGGTACCACCCAAACACACCCCTATATTCACTGAGTGGTACCACCCAAACACACCCCTATATTCACTGAGTGGTACCACCCAAACACAACCCTATATTCACTGAGTGGTACCACCCAAACACACCCCTATATTCACTGAGTGGTACCACCCAAACACACCCCTATATTCACTGAGTGGTACCACCCAAACACAACCCTATATTCACTGAGTGGTACCACCCAACCACACCATTACAACTATAAGTTTAAAGGGGTTAACTGGATGCCACGCTTCAACTATTTTATTCTCCCTCCCTCTCCCCTCCCCCTCTCTTTATCCCCCCTCCCCCTCTCTCCCTCCCCCTCTCTCTCCCTCCCCCTCTCTCTCCCTCTCCCTCCCCCTCCCTCTCTCCATCCCCCTCTCCCCCCCCTCTCTCTCTACCCCCCCCTCTCTCTCTCTCCACCCCCCCTCTCTCTCTCCCTCTCTCTCTCCCTCTCTCTCTCCACCCCCCCCTCTCTCTCTCCCTCTCTCTCTCCACCCCCCCCTCTCTCTCTCCCTCTCTCTCTCCATCCCCCCCTCTCTCTCTCTCCATCCCCCCCTCTCTATCCCCCCTCTCTCTCTCTCCATCCCCCCCTTTCCTCTCTCGCCCCCTCTCTCTCTCCACCCCCCCCTCTCTCTCCTCTCCATCCCCCCTCCCCCCTTCCCCCTCTCTCTCTCTCTCTCTCTCTCTCTCTCCACCCCCCCTTCCCCCTCCCCATAGGGCTTATTGAAGGCTAGGAGGGTACTGGAGGAAGACTATGGCAGTATGCACGTGTCCTTCGGCATGCCTCTATCAGTCAGACAGCTGACTAAGGGGAGGGTGGACCGCTGCCAATACAACCTCCTACCCAGGTACACAACCACAGCCAGCGTTCTCTCTGTCAGTCTGTCTCCTACCCAGGTACACGACCACAGCCAGCGTTCTCTCTGTCTGTCAGTCTCCTACCCAGGTACACGACCACAGCCAGCGTTCTCTCTCTCTGTCAGTCTGTCTCCTACCCAGGTACACGACCACAGCCAGCGTTCTCTCTGTCAGTCTGTCTCCTACCCAGGTACACGACCACAGCCAGCGTTCTCTCTCTCTGTCAGTCTGTCTCCTACCCAGGTACACAACCACAGACAGCGTTCTCTCTGTCAGTCTGTCTCCTACCCAGGTACACGACCACAGCCAGCGTTCTCTCTGTCAGTCTGTCTCCTACCCAGGTACACGACCACAGCCAGCGTTCTCTCTGTCAGTCTGTCTCCTACCCAGGTACACAACCACAGCCAGCGTTCTCTCTGTCAGTCTGTCTCCTACCCAGGTACACGACCACAGCCAGCGTTCTCTCTGTCAGTCTGTCTCTTACCCAGGTACACGACCACAGCCAGCGTTCTCTCTGTCTGTCAGTCTCCTACCCAGGTACACAACCACAGCCAGCGTTCTCTCTGTCAGTCTGTCTCCTACCCAGGTACACAACCACAGCCAGCGTTCTCTCTGTCAGTCTGTCTCCTACCCAGGTACACGACCACAGCCAGCGTTCTCTCTTGTCAGTCTGTCTCCTACCCAGGTACACAACCACAGCCAGCGTTCTCTCTGTCAGTCTGTCTCCTACCCAGGTACACAACCACAGACAGCGTTCTCTCTGTCAGTCTGTCAGTCTGTCTCCTACCCAGGTACACAACCACAGACAGCGTTCTCTCTGTCAGTCTGTCAGTCTGTCTCTGTGTCTTACTGTATCTTATCTCAGGCATATCTTGGTAGCACATCTTCAGAACAAAACCATATTGTAGTTCTATTGTGAAACCAGCCAGCTCTTTCTTTCTGCTCATATCTCCCCCCCCCCCCCCCCCCCCCCCCCCCTCCCCCTCTCAGAGACCTACCCCAGAGGCCCAGCGTAGAGACCCAGGAGTGTGTGAGCTGGCTGGCCCAGCAGGTGATACGCGTCCAGGAACAGGGCTCCATCCTCAGCCCCTGGTCTCTCATGGCTTGCCTGGTGCTCCAGGACCACCAGAACACACACCCAGGTACACGCTGAGGAAGAGGAGCAGGACGATCTGTATCCCCCGCAGTCATTACTCTCATTAACAAAAGCTGATGTTCACACAGTATTACTACCAGGAGAGGAACCAGAGAAGGGTCTGCCCTGGGAGCTGCTCACCCAGAGGACACTGTGGCTCAAGGGGCTGGCGATCAGCTTCGGGGCCCGCCTGGACTGGCCTGGTAGGTGTACAGCCATTGGTTGGTTGTTTGGTTGGTTGGTTTGGTGTGAGCCGTTCCAACACACTGATCAGGTGGATTTAGGCCTCTACAATAGATCCTCTGTCTCAGTAATACAGGGACACTGAAAGGCTGACCAGAGGTCGCTCAGGTCCCATATCCACGAAGCCTCTCGGAGCGTCTGAGTGCTGATCTAGGATCTAGGATCAGATCCCACCCCGTCCATGCAATCTTATTCATTATGATCTAAAAGGCTAAACTGATCCGAGATCAGCACCCAGAACCGAACGTTCAGTATTTCCTCTTATCCCGTTTAGATGGTACAGCATGGTACACTTAGAAATTAGACTAATCTTATGTTGTAATCATACTTAATGGGCACACACACACACACACACACACACTCTCTCACACACACACACACAGACACTCACACACACACACACACACACACACACACACACACTCACACTCACACACACACCTTGAATTGTCCTCAACGCAGTGACGTCTTTCTCTCCTCTGTAGAGCAGCTACCTGAGAACCAGGTGATGTCATCCAGCATGGCCCTGCACCGCTCTGTGATTCGCTGTCACCAGGGCCGTGTCACACTGCTGGAGGAGGGGCCTGTGGGGGCTGGGCCTTTCACAGCAGAGGAGGGTGTGGTCAGGCGGGCGGGGAAGGTGCTAATGGTTGCGGCCTACAGGAACCAGGCGGTGCATGTGTTCATACGTCCTGCTATGCTGGCTCTGGCCATACACACAGCACACAGCTCACAGAGAGGTGAGTTAGACACACTGATTGGCTCTGGCCATACACACAGCACACAGCTCACAGAGAGGTGAGTTAGACACACTGATTGGCTCTGGCCATACACACAGCTCACAGAGAGGTGAGTTAGACACACTGATTGGCTCTGGCCATACACACAGCACACAGCTCACAGAGAGGTGAGTTAGACACACTGATTGGCTCTGGCCATACACACAGCACACAGCTCACAGAGAGGTGAGTTAGACACACTGATTGGCTCTGGCCATACACACAGCACACAGCTCACAGAGAGGTGAGTTAGACACACTGATTGGCTCTGGCCATACACACAGCACACAGCTCACAGAGAGGTGAGTTAGACACACTGATTGGCTCTGGCCATACACACAGCACACCGCTCACAGAGAGGTGAGTTAGACACACTGATTGGCTCTGGCCATACACACAGCACACCGCTCACAGAGAGGTGAGTTAGACACACTGATTGGCTCTGGCCATACACACAGCACACCGCTCACAGAGAGGTGAGTTAGACACACTGATTGGCTCTGGCCATACACACAGCACACAGCTCACAGAGAGGTGAGTTAGACGCACTGATTGGCTCTGGCCATACACACAGCACACAGCTCACAGAGAGGTGAGTTAGACACACTGATTGGCTCTGGCCATACACACAGCTCACAGAGAGGTGAGTTAGACACACTGATTGGCTCTGGCCATACACACAGCTCACAGAGAGGTGAGTTAGACACACTGATTGTCCTTGTCTCTCCTATAGCTACTTCAGGTTCCTCTTGTCTGTCTGTCTGTCTCTCTGTTTCTCTGTCTCTCTGTCTCTCTGTCTGTCTGTCTGTCTGTCTGACCATGTCTCTGTGTCTCCAGAGGACATCTATAGCTACTTCAGGTTCCTCCTGGACCTCTTCTCCAACGACTTCATCTTCATCACTGGCAGATCCTCACAGGTTAGTCTTCACCTGTAACAGAGGATTGTGATGCATTGTGGGTAAATTGTGACTGATCTATATCTGCCTCTGTGTCTGCCTCTCTGCCTCTGTGTCTGTGTCTCTGTGTCTGCCTCTGTGTCTGCCTCTGTGTCTCTGTGTCTCTGTGTCTCTCTGTCTCTGTGTCTCTCTGTCTCTCTGTCTGTGTGTCTGTGTGTCCTGAAGGACTTTGAGGAGGCGTGTTCGTTACTCAGGAAATGTGGAGCAGTCCAGACCAGTCAACAGGAAGTGACATCACTAGAGGAGGGTCAGAGTACTACCTCATTCCTGCGAGCCCTGCTACAGCCCTTCGTAGACGCCTACCAGGTAGGAGGAGGACAGTGTGTTCCTGTATAGAGACACAGACAGAGCCCTGGTCAAAGGTAGAAAGTCCTATGGGTCCTGGTCAAAGGTAGAAAGTCCTATGGGTCCTGGTCAAAGGTAGAAAGTCCTATGGGTCCTGGTCAAAGGTAGAAAGTCCTATGGGCCCTGGTCAAAGGTAGAAAGTCCTATGGGCCCTGGTCAAAGGTAGAAAGTCCTATGGGTCCTGGTCAAAGGTAGAAAGTCCTATGGGTCCTGGTCAAAGGTAGAAAGTCCTATGGGCCCTGGTCAAAGGTAGAAAGTCCTATGGGTCCTGGTCAAAGGTAGAAAGTCCTATGAGCCCTGGTCAAAGGTAGAAAGTCCTATGGGCCCTGGTCAAAGGTAGAAAGTCCTATGGGTCCTGGTCAAAGGTAGTGCACTCAGGTCTAATCTTAACCCCTCATCTCAAGTCAGTTTCAAATACCCTCCACTAAAGGGAGAGTGTGTGTCTCTGTGTGTGTGTCTGTGTGTGTGTGTGTCTCTGTGTGTCTGTGTTCAGGTGGTGTTCAGTCACCTGTGTGTGGAGGGTCTTGAGGTGTTCACAGAGAGACAGATGTTTCCTGCCGTCCGCAGCCTGGCCACCAAGCTCCTCTTATCGGGTAACTGACAGACACCTGTCCTAAACTGTCCTGTCCTCTCCCCTGACACACACCTGTCCTGTACTATCCTGTCCTGTCCCCTAACACACACCTGTCCTGTCCCCTAACATACTCCTGTCCCCTAACCCACACCTGTCCTGTCCCCTAACCCACACCTGTCCTGTCACCTAACACACACCTGTCCTGTCCCCTAACATACTCCTGTCCCCTAACCCACACCTGTCCTGTCCCCTAACACACACCTGTCCTGTCCCCTAACACACACCTGTCCTGTCCCCTAACACACACCTGTCCTGTCCCCCTAACACACACCTGTCCTGTCCCCTAACACACACCAGTCCTTGAACCTTGGTCCAGCACCTCTGAGATATACAAAAGTATGTGGACACCCCTTCAAATTTGGCTATTTCAGCCACACACGTTGCTGACAGGTGTATAAAATCCAGCACACAGCCATGCAATCTCCATAGACAAACATTAGCAGTAGAATGGCCTTACTGAAGAGCTCAGTGACTTTCAACGTGGCACCGTCATAGGATGCCACCTTTCCAACAAGTCAGTTCGTAAAATGTCTGCCCTGCTAGAGCTGCCCTGGTCAACTGTAAATGCTGTTATTGTGAAGTGGAAACGTCTAGGAACAACAACGGCTCAGCCGCGAAGTGGTAGGCCACACAAGCTCACAGAACGGGACCGCTGAGTGCTGAAGCACGTAGCGTATAAAAATGTATCTGTCCTCGGTTGCAACACTCACTACCGAGTTCCAAACTGCCTCTGGAAGCAACGTCAGCACAATAAATGTTCGTCGGGAGCTCACTGCTTTCCTCAGCCAACTTGCAGGAGCTCGACCCGCCATAAGGAGTCGCTAGAGCGCGAAGAGACGCCATTCCTCCCCCACCCCGGCTGGTGCTGGCCCAATGTGCGCCAAACCCAAGCTGTAATGAAGGTGCTGGCCCAATGTGCGCCAAACCCAAGCTGTAATGAAGGTGCTGGCCCAATGTGCGCCAAACCCAGGCTGTAATGAAGGTGCTGGCCCAATGTGCGCCAAACCCTGGCTGTAATGAAGGTGCTGGCCCAATGTGCACCAAACCCAGGCTGTAATGAAGGTGCTGGCCCAATGTGCGCCAAACCCAGGCTGTAATGAAGGTGCTGGCCCAATGTGCACCAAACCCAGGCTGTAATGAAGGTGCTGGCCCAATGTGCACCAAACCCAGGCTGTAATGAAGGTGCTGGCCCAATGTGCACCAAACCCTGGCTGTAATGAAGGTGCTGGCCCAATGTGCGCCGTCCATTGGGACTTCCGGCCACAGCCGTCCATTGGGACAGCTCGAACCCAGGCTGTAATGACGCCGGGCAGTGCATTAAAGCGATGCGCCAATCGGGAGGCGTGCTGCATCTTTCTAATGTCCGTCTGTCCTCCAGGAGAGCTGAAGTCTTATGAAGCCCTGTCATCTGATACCCAGAAGAATGTCCTGTCTGCTCTCCTGAGACTGGAGGCTGTGACCAGGCTGAGAACGTTAGTACACTTCAATATAGTGCACTTCAATATAGTGCACTTCAATATAATACACTTTAATATAGTGCACTTCAATATAGTACGCTTTAATATAGTACGCGTCAATAGAATACACTTTAATATAGTATACTTCAATGTAGTATGATTTAATTTAGTACACTTCAGTGGTTTCTGTGTGCTCTGCGTTGGGTGTAGCTGTTACTAATGTTGTCTGATTTCAGAGCTGAGCAGAGTGAGTTCAGAGCCAACAAGCCAGCCATCAGGAGAATAGCAGAGACTCTGGGTAAGAACGTGGAGATTACACGGGTCAACTGTATGCATACTCTCTGCTAAAGTTACTGTAATTCAGTACAATTTAATGGTTTCAGTGAGTTCTCTCTGTCTGTGTCTGTTTCCCTCTCTCTTTCTCCCCCCTCACTCGCTCTCTCTCTCCCCCTCGCTCTCTCTCTCCCCCCTCTCTCTCTCTCCCCCCTCTCTCTCTCTCTGTCTCTGTCCCCCCCTCTCTCTCTCTCTCTCTCTCCCCCCCCCCTCTCTCTCTCTCTCTCTGTCTCTGTCCCCCCCTCTCTCTCTCTGTGCCCCCTCTCTCTCTCTCTGTCTCTCTCTCTCTCTCTGTCTCCCCCCCCCCACTTCTCTCTCTGTCTCCCCCTCTCTCTCTCTGTCCCCCCCCCCCCCCTCTCCCCTCGCTCTCTCCCCCTCTCTCTCTCTCCCCCCACTCTCTCTGTCTCCCCCCCACTCTCTCTGTCTCCTCCCTCTCTCTGTCTCCCCCCTTTCTCTGTCTCCCTCCTCTCCCTCTGTCTCCCCTCAACTGTGTCTCTGTCTATCCCCACCTCTCTGTCTCCCCCGTCTCCCCCCCTCCTCTCTGTCTCCCACCCTCTCTGTATCTCCCTCCAGCGGGTAGACTGCCGGTACAGACCGTTCCTAACCCCAGGCTCTAATCCTGGAGGACTGCAGACCAGACGGACAGACTGGACCCATCCTCTGTCTCCAACCCAACACTGGGCCTGTATTCATACAGCATCTTAGAGTAGAGTGTGCTGGCGAGGCCTCTAGTGCTCAGCATCGCTCCAGACGCTGACTATAATCAACTGGACAGTAAAGCTGTGACCATTGTGTCAACTGTAGCTGTATAGACCTTTATGGCCTTACTTAGAGTGAGTGAGTGATTCATTTGTTAATTAGTGATACCGATCCATTACCTGTAATCATCTCCTAGATCTGCTGTAAGCATCTAGTAGAATCAGTGAAGTTAATTTTTGGACTCCAGACACTTCCAATGGAGGCCACTAGATGGCAGTCTAACCACTGAGTCAATACACACTGTCTGAGTGGGTTTTAGTTTAACAAGATTTTTATGTTATACCAATCATTAAATATAATATATGCATTGACTTATCAGATATCAACATGTGAATTGGAATGTTTTTTTACATTTAATTTCAATTTTTTCTTTTTTTGAAGATGTAAATTCTTGAATAAAATGAATGTCATCTTATCGCAAAGACTGTTCCCTCATATTTAATGTTGGCCTCCCCTCTTCCCCAAGTAGCATTATGATGCTTGACATGTGCAGTAACAGACAGTATATCAGTAACAGACAGTGTATCAGTAACAGACAGTATATCAGTAACAGACAGTATATCAGTAACAGACAGTAACAGACAGTATATCAGTAACAGACAGTAACAGACAGTATATCAGTAACAGACATTGTATCAGTAACAGACATTATATCAGTAACAGACAGTGTATCAGTAACAGACAGTATATCAGTAACAGACATTGTATCAGTAACAGACATTATATCAGTAACAGACAGTATATCAGTAACAGACAGTATATCAGTAACAGACAGTAACAGACAGTATATCAGTAACAGACAGTATATCAGTAACAGACAGTGTATCCGTAACAGACAGTGTATCCGTAACAGACATTGTATCAGTAACAGACAGTGTATCAGTAACAGACAGTATATCAGTAACAGACAGTATATCAGTAACAGACATTGTATCAGTAACAGACAGTGTATCAGTAACAGACAGTATATCAGTAACAGACAGTATATCAGTAACAGACAGTATATCAGTAACAGACAGTAACAGACAGTATATCAGTAACAGACAGTATATCAGTAACAGACAGTATATCAGTAACAGACATTGTATCAGTAACAGACATTGTATCAGTAACAGACAGTGTATCAGTAACAGACAGTATATCAGTAACAGACAGTATATCAGTAACAGACAGTATATCAGTAACAGACAGTAACGGACAGTATATCAGTAACAGACAGTATATCAGTAACAGACATTGTATCAGTAACAGACAGTGTATCAGTAACAGACAGTATATCAGTAACAGACAGTATATCAGTAACAGACATTGTATCAGTAACAGACAGTGTATCAGTAACAGACAGTATATCAGTAACAGACAGTATATCAGTAACAGACAGTATATCAGTAACAGACAGTAACAGACAGTATATCAGTAACAGACAGTAACAGACAGTATATCAGTAACAGACAGTATATCAGTAACAGACATTGTATCAGTAACAGACATTGTATCAGTAACAGACAGTGTATCAGTAACAGACAGTATATCAGTAACAGACAGTAACAGACAGTATATCAGTAACAGACAGTATATCAGTAACAGACAGTATATCAGTAACAGACAGTATATCAGTAACAGACAGTGTATCCGTAACAGACATTGTATCAGTAACAGACATTGTATCAGTAACAGACAGTGTATCAGTAACAGACAGTATATCAGTAACAGACAGTATATCAGTAACAGACATTGTATCAGTAACAGACAGTATATCAGTAACAGACAGTATATCAGTAACAGACAGTATATCAGTAACAGACAGTAACAGACAGTATATCAGTAACAGACAGTATATCAGTAACAGACAGTGTATCAGTAACAGACAGTATATCAGTAACAGACAGTGTATCAGTAACAGACATTGTATCAGTAACAGACATTGTATCAGTAACAGACATTGTATCAGTAACAGACAGTGTATCAGTAACAGACAGTATATCAGTAACAGACATTTTATCAGTAACTTGAATATAATATGTCTCTGAAATAGGCCCTTTAACCTGAATAGCAACAAGACAGTACATTTGTAAGACAACATAAAAATATAAATTCATATTGCTCTTGTATTGTAGAATATTTTACAGGACTGTGACGTATTTTCATAATTTTTTCCGTTTAATTTCTCATAGAGCTGACAGATTTCAAACGATTGTTGACTGTGTGTATCCAACACAATGCATCTAATCAATGCCTTCAGTTTTTTTCTCTGTCTGATTTTCAAATGGCAGCTGTGGAGTGAAAATCGGTGTCCTCGTCGCAGTAGATGGCTCCGGAGCAGACGCCCCATTGCCAGCTGACATTGTTGACGTTGCCCTTGTGATGTAGAAGCAGGTGACCTTGCACGACCTTCACAATATCCCAAAGACGTTTGCCACTTTGATTGGACTTGTTTATGCTCTGAATATGGACTATCCAAAGGGGTTCTGGGACACTGAGGTGTTTCAGAGAATCTTCTTGTGTAGTGCAGAGAGCTGTAAAACAAGAGGACCATCTTCTTACATTTACATTTTAGTCATTTAGCAGACGCTCTTATCCAGAGCGACTTACATGAGCAATTAGGGTTAAGTGCCTTGCTTAAGAGCACATCGACAGATTTTTCACCTAGTCGGCTCGGGGATTAGAACCAGCGACCTTTCGGTTACTGGCACAACGCTCTTACCCACTGAGCCACCTGCCGCCCCAGTGAGACAGACCGATGTCTAGCTACTGGTGCCATGCCTTATTGCTAAAGGCAGACGGAAATGGTCTTTCAATGTTTCTTGATCCAGATGTGTTAACTGTGAGGGCTGTTCTATGGGGGAAGCAAGGTCCAGTTCCTGTGAAATGCTTGTGGTCTACACCCGTGTCTTGTATCATCATGACTGTTCTCAGTCAGATTTAAACTGTTGAAGATAAGAGAGATAGAGATGGAGGCCGGTACAGAGATGACTGACTTGATATACGGTTCATAATTATGTTACTAAAGGCATATGTGAATGTTGTTTTCACGTTTCATGATAGACATATCTTAACTGTGTGAAAATATCGGCCAGTATATGCAGGCAGTAAGATGCAGCTCCTCTGAGATGCCCTGTGGTCGTTTATTTTGAAGGCATCTATGTTTCTTATGTCATTGTGACCGTTCTCAATCAGATTTAAACTGGCCAGCAGAGATGATACCATTCTCTTAGCACACCAGAGAGAGAGGGGGATGGAGGCCAGTGGAGGAGAGGGAGGGGGATGGAGGCCAGTGGAGGAGAGGGGGATGGAGGCCAGTGGGGGAGACGGAGGGGGATGGAGGCCAGTGGAGGAGAGGGGGATGGAGGCCAGTGGAGGAGAGGGAGGGGGATGGAGGCCAGTGGAGGAGAGGGAGGGGGATGGAGGCCAGTGGAGGAGAGAGAGGGGGATGGAGGCCAGTGGAGGAGAGGGAGGGGGATGGAGGCCAGTGGAGGAGAGGGGGATGGAGGCCAGTGGAGGAGAGGGAGGGGGATGGAGGCCAGTGGAGGAGAGGGGGATGGAGGCCAGTGGAGGAGAGGGAGGGGGATGGAGGCCAGTGGAGGAGAGGGGGATGGAGGCCAGTGGGGGAGACGGAGGGGGATGGAGGCCAGTGGAGGAGAGGGGGATGGAGGCCAGTGGAGGAGAGGGAGGGGGATGGAGGCCAGTGGAGGAGAGGGGGATGGAGGCCAGTGGAGGAGTGAGAGGGGGATGGAGGCCAGTGGAGGAGAGAGAGGGGGATGGAGGCCAGTGGAGGAGAGGGAGGGGGATGGAGGCCAGTGGAGGAGAGGGAGGGGGATGGAGGCCAGTGGAGGAGAGAGAGGGGGATGGAGGCCAGTGGAGGAGAGAGAGGGGGATGGAGGCCAGTGGAGGAGAGGGAGGGGGATGGAGGCCAGTGGAGGAGAGGGAGGGGGATGGAGGCCAGTGGAGGAGAGGGAGGGGGATGGAGGCCAGTGGAGGAGAGGGTGATGGAGGCCAGTGGAGGAGAGGGAGGGGGATGGAGGCCAGTGGAGGAGAGGGGGGGGGATGGAGGTCAGTGGAGGAGAGGGAGGGGGATGGAGGCCAGTGGAGGAGAGGGAGGGGGATGGAGGTCAGTGGAGGAGTGAGAGGGGGATGGAGGCCAGTGGAGGAGAGGGAGGGGGATGGAGGCCAGCTCAGCTGTCTTAGTTGCACTGATTTCTCTCTCTTGCAGCTATGACAGTCTGACTTAAACAGCCGGGTGACCCTTTAACAGCCGGGTGACCCTTTAACAGCCGGGTGACCCTTTAACAGCCGGGTGACCCTTTAACAGCCGGGTGACCCTTTTCTAGAACACAGAATTGCAAACTGTTTGTGCCAGGTACCAGCATGGCATGGTCTTCTCCTCTGGGGACTGCTTTGGGTCAAAATAATTCACAATCACTTTTTCTTTATAAAAAACAAAAATGTTACTTCAATTATTTTTACTTTAAATAAATAAATTATTAATTTACTTGGCTGCCTTCATGGTCTGTCTGTCCCCCTGCCTTTCTTTCTGTCTGTCTGTCTGTCTGTCTGTCTGTCTGTCTGTCTGTCTGTCTGTCTGTCTGTCTGTCTGTCTGTCTGTCTGTCTGTCTGTCTGTCTGTCTGTCTGTCTGTCTGTCTGTCTGTCTGTCTGTCTGTCCTCTTAAATGTAATGTAATGGCAAAATGTAGGTATCCGCGTAAATAGACATACCCAAAACTAACTGCTATTCATGTGTAATTACATGATTCTGACATGCAAAAACTTGGTATACTTGGAAAGTAGACATCTGGGAGATGATGAGGAAATCATCAGATAGGAGTTACATAGTTCAGAGTACACAAGATCAAGCACACACAAAATAACCGTTTTTTATTTATTTTGAAAGTCATCTTTCATTGACAAGCTATTAGTGAATTATTGATGAGTAGAGCTGGAAACACATCAGATGGCTTCCACAATGTGAACAATATCAGAATAAAAAATGGGATTGATAGACCTAACAACTAGAAATGGGCAGATGTTTTAGTAAGTGGTGTCAGGTGTGGTCACGGGACGTTTCCAAGTGTCCCTAAACCTCTCCAAAGTGGCATATGTCTGTAAATTAGATAATTCCAGTGCTATTACATATTTGCAATCCCTAAATGCTATTTGTTCAGTATAGAAACACAATTTCTACCCATATCAACCTCACTCAAACATTGTGGTGGTGTTATGGGGTATCCAGGGTACATTCAAGTGTCCTTTCAACCTCTCCAAAGTGTCCGAATGTGGTAATTGCACTGTTTTTCCACACTGGATGTGCCTAAAAGTTATTGTTTACTATAAAAACTACATTTCTACAACACCAACCTCTCTCAAACATTGTGGTGGTGTCAGGGGACATACAGGGGATATCCAAGTGGTTTTTCATCCTCTCCCAAG